TGGTGAAAACGACAAACGAATCTCTTCATCATGTACTTTCATTCGAAATGAAGTTCCCCCTAACAATGGTAATTAATAAGCAAGTTGAACAATTGAGTGCAAATCCGACCATCTGATGGCAAATAAAGCCAGTCAACTCAGAAAGAAAGTGACTAGACGATATCTTGTCACTTTCATGCTATTCGAAAATTTGGAGCGTTACTTGGGCTTCTTTCAACAAGCATTTTTGTCTCCAAAAATATCGCAACTGGTTAGCTGTGAGGAGCTGACTCATGTGATGATGATGACGATGATGACGAACTGATTGCGATACCGGCTTTCGCTTTGATAAGAATCTTGGTGTGTTTTGCTGGAATTATTTCACATTTTTCGTGGTCCACTAATGCGTCGCTTTGAAGGACCGTTACAATTTCCTTGATATATGCATTTTTTCACAATCATATGCCAATGAATTTCACACAGCTTACCAAAAAAGTATTCTCGCCCAGGCTATAGTAGACGGCCGTGTGTTAGTAGAGTTTCGAGACTACCAGTAAATCAGTAATATGAGATGTATTCACCCTATTTCGTTTACGGTGATGACGGCCGTCTCATCAACGGCCTGGGTCGTGGTAGGGCAGTGCATAATGTTGACACGTTAATCACTACGCGACACTTACGGGACTGCTCCTGGGTCACAAGGAAGATGATGAAGTTCAGGATAGGCAAGGCATTTTCTCATATCACATTCTGTGGTGGGAGTTTTGATGAAGCAAAGTTGCATTTGCTATATGACCAGAGATACATTACACATTTTTTATTTATTGGTCGGTTTTAGAGACCAACAGTAGCTTATACATTATGAGATATGAATTCCAGTCTACTGATTTCATTTGGGGAAAACTCAACTACCATTCTTTACAGACTTTAAACATATGGAGTGAATACATCGCATATATATGATCTATTGCTGGTCTCAAAAACCGACTTATAAACGAAACTATTAATTAAATATATGAAGACCAAGATGTTCTGGCCTCTGTGATGGTCGTAGTCTCCTTTCGATTTATAGAAGTGGGTCGACCTCGTTGCCGCAACTTGGTCTTGTGGTCAGGGCGACTATGTAGAACGTACCGAGATCGAAGACGTCTGCCATAGTAGTTGTCATGATTCCCAGTATCTGACAGTGGACTTGATACATTCTAAAACGTTTCGTCGGCATCGTAGTCGGCATCATCAGGTAGGTTTGTCATTCTTCGCACCAAGATACGAACTCGTCAAAGAGGCAAGTCAAGTCACTCACTTGACGAACGTTCTACCGAACGTTGGGAATG